ATCAAACCATAAGAAATTTGCAAAATCAAATTGATCTTCTTGAAACTGATATATCCATAAAAAATAGCATTATTGAGTCCACTCAGGAAAATCTTAGAATTACCAGTTTGTCAAATTCATCCTTGTCTGCTGAAATTGACGATGTTAAAAATCTTTTGATTAAAGAACAAACTGTGCTCCACACTTGGGCAAAATCTCATAAGAATGCCAATTATATTATCTCAGCTCAAATTCCTCATTCTTGTGAAAAAATTCTTGGGGGTAATTTTGCAGAAGCTGAAAAGGTTTTTAAATCACAAGAAAAGGAATCTGAGGTCTATTCCATGAAAGAAATGAAAAATAATTTCAAAAATAAGTTTGTCAGTAACTCTTTTATTAATCAAAGTTTAATTGATGAATATTGCACTGTTAATTCTGATGGTATCACTGAATGTAATGTTGAAATTACTGGAATTGATCCTACCTCTTATCCTACACATCTTGTTAGACCAACCCCTCTGACTGAAAATATTATTGCTTTTCCTATTTCTAATGGAGTGTTTCATGTTGTTCATGAACAACTCAAGCATCTCCCTGATTGCAATCCATCTGTGAATGAGTCAAAATCAGATATTGATATTTCATCCTCTAACACTGATCAAATTCATTATGACACTGAACTCAGTCGTGAGTCAGTGATAAACAAAAGGACTCAAAGCTCTATTTGTCAATCCTACATATCAAAATGTGTTAAATCAAAAAATTTTCTCACCAAGAAGAACTTTGGAAGTAGAGTTTGTTACAGATGTGGTGACTCCTCTCACAAGATCAGTGAATGTTCTTTTGATAAATCATCCTCAAAAGCTGAAAATATGAAAGTTAGGAATGAAAAATGGACTCTTAAGTCAAACTCTTTAAATTGTCTTCCTAGGGAATGTTATAATTTATTATCAGATAACTTTGTGAATGACCCATCTTCGAATGGGTCAGTGTGTTCTAACTAGTTTCTCAGTATTGCAGGGTCAGGAGCATCTTTGGTATTTAGATAGTGGTTGCTCAAGGCATATGACAGGATGAAAGTCTCTCCTGGAAGATTATGTTAAGAAAACTGGTCCTGCAGTCACTTATGGAGACAATGGAAAGGGGTTCACTAAGGGATATGGAAACATCAAATGCAATAACGTGGTTTTTCAAAACGTTTCATATGTAAAGGGTCTCAAACACAACCTCATTTCTATCAGTCAGTTGTGTGATTCTGACTATGAAGTTCACTTTACAAAGAAGGAAGGAAGAGTTGTTAACACTGACAAGAACATTGTACTCTCAGCAAATAGAAAAGATGATATATATGTTCTTGACATGTTCTCAAGTGACAAGGCACTGATGCAATGTTTCTTTTCAAAGTCTCAGACGAATCTTAGCTGGATTTGGCACAAAAGGTTTTCTCATCTGAACTTCAAGAATCTATCCAAGATATCCAATCAAGATCTAGTTAGAGGGCTCCCAAAATTCAGCGTTGTGAAAGACAAGATGTGTTCAGCGTGTGAACAAGGAAAACAAACCAAGTCCTCTTTCAAACCCAAGTCATGTTCCAGTATATCAGTCCCTCTTCATCTACTCCACATGGACCTGTTTGGACCTATTCCTGTTCGTTCTCTAGGTGGAAATAAGTATACTCTAGTGGTTGTTGATGAGTTCACTCGATTTACATGGGTAATTTTCTTGAAGAAGAAAAGTCAGGCTGCACAGGAAATCATCTCGCTGATTCGTAAAAATGAGACACTGACAGGTCTTAAAGTTAAGCAACTAAGAAGTGATCATGGCACTGAGTTCCGAAAAATAAACTCTTGAAGAATTTTGTGATCATAAAGGAATTGGACAAAACTTCTCAGCTCCTCGCACTCCTCAACAAAATGGTGTTGCTGAACGAAGAAATAGAACACTGATTGAGGCAGGAAGGACTTTGATGATCCATGCTGGTCTTCCTATGTCGTTTTGGGCTGAAGCTATCAATACAGCATGTTTTACTCAGAATCGATCTCTAATTCATAGGATTCACAAGAAGACTCCATATGAAATGCTGAAAGATCGAAAACCAGATGTATCTTTTTTTCATGTGTTCGGATGCATTTGTTATATTCTAAATCAGCGTGATCCAAGATCCAAGTTTGAACCTAAGGCTGATAAAGGTATTTTTGTTGGGTACTCATCTATTTCAAAAGCTTTTCGTGTTTTTCATGTGAACAGGCAATGTGTTGAAGAATCCATTCATGTGAAGTTTGATGAGGAATCATACACTGATGAAAAAGTCACTCATTCTCCTTCTATCTTTCAAGAGCTTCTCTCTTGTCCATTCGATGAAGCACCTTCTGCAGAAGATAAGACTGATTCCTCTGATCCTATCATTCCAGTTCCATGTTCCTTAAGTCAAGATACTACAGCCACATCAGCAGATAACTCATTAGATGCTGATGAAACCCTTGAAGCTGAAGACTCTCCTGAAACTGATAATGTGTCAGTATCTATCTCTCCAGAATCAATATCAGTCATTGAACATCGAGATCATCCTGTTGATCGAATTATAGGGAATATTCATGATGGTGTCCGAACTAGATCTAGTGTGCTTAATAACTTTTGCATGTATTTTAACTTTGTTTCAATGATCTTGCCTGATAAAGTACACACGGCTCTTCAAGATGCTGATTGGATCCAAGCCATGCAAGAAGAACTGAATGAGTTTGAGAGGCACAAAGTTTGGACTCTTGTCCCAAGACCATCCGGGAAGACTATCACTGGAACTCGTTGGGTCTATCGTAACAAGGTTGATAAAGATGGTATCATCACTCGCAACAAGGCAAGGCTTGTAGCTCAAGGGTTCACTCAGATTGAATCTATCGACTACGGGGAAACTTTTGCCCCAGTTGCTCGCATTGAAGCTATCAGGCTGTTTCTCGCATACGCATCCTACATGAACTTCATTGTCTATCAGATGGATGTGAAGACAGCATTCCTTCATGGTGTGTTAGAAGAAGAAGTGTTCCTAAAACAGCCCCCAGGCTTTGTGGACAAAGATCATCCTGATTACGTGTACCGGTTAGATAAAGCTGTTTATGGACTGAAGCAAGCTCCCAGGGCTTGGTATGAGACACTGACATCGTATCTGCTTGAAAATGGATACAGACGAGGAGCAATCGACAACACTCTCTTCATCAAAAACAAAGGCTCAGATATGGTTCTTGTTCAAATTTATGTCGATGACATTATTTTTGGCTCTCCAAATGAGACACTGAGCAAGGAATTTGCAGAGATCATGTCTCAAAGGTTCGAAATGAGCATGATGGGAAAGATGACCTTTTTTCTTAGGTCTTGAGGTTCAGCAACAAAAGACAGGTATTTCCATTTGTCAAAGTAAATATATTTCTGACCTGCTTGTTAAGTATTCTCTCAGTGACTGCAAGCCAGCCTCTACCCCAGTATCTAAGGCTGATAAGCTACACGCTGATCCAACTGGAACAGATGTCAATCACTCTCTGTATCGAGGAATGATTGGATCCCTCTTATATCTCACAGCAAGTCGTCCTGATATCATGTTTGGAACCATTCTCTGTGCTCGATTCCAAGCTAATCCCAAAGAATCTCATCTCATGGCTGTCAAACGTATTTTTCGATACTTAAAGGGAACTCAAAACCTTGCACTGTGGTATCCTCGCGACTCAGCATTTGAACTTTATGGATACACTGACTCAGATTATGCAGGATGCAATTTAGACAAAAAGAGTACATCTGGTGGATGTCACTTCCTTGGCAACCATCTCATCAGCTGGTCTAGCAAGAAGCAAACATCAGTTGCCATCTCAACTGCAAAAGCTGAGTATGTTGCCGCTGGGAGATGCTGTGCTCAGCTCTTATGGATTCAAAATCAGCTTCTCGACTATGGGTTCAAGTTCTCAAAGACTCCCATCTATTGTGACAACACCAGTGCCATTCAGATCACACAAAATCCTGTTCAGCACTCAAAGACAAAGCATATCGAGATCAGACATCACTTCATCAGAGATAATGTTGAAAAAGGAAAAGTTGTTCTTGAACATGTCAAGACTTCGGAGCAACTTGCTGATATCTTCACAAAGGCACTGGATTCTCAATCAACTGCTTACATTATCGGAGAACTGGGAATGATTTCCTTGTAATTAATTTTGACGTTTAATTGTGCTAATGTTTGATATTGTCTTATAAGTTGATGTACATTGTGCTGATGATGACATACTGATGATATTTGCTACTGAGCACTTAGGTTTGATTTCTTATCTTTATCTCTTCTTCAAGTCTTCTAAACAAAAGTTGAATGATTCACTGTATTAAACCATACACTGATAACGACTTGAAACTCTTTGCCGATGGTTAGATCAAAACACCAAGATCTATCACACGCAACTATCCCTTCTTACCAATCTTACACTGGTTTCATGATTCAGTGTGACAAAACACACACTGATGAGAATCTAAAAATCTTTGCCGATGGTTAGATCAAAACACCAAGATCTATCACACGCAACTATCCCTTCTTACCAATCTTTTACTGATTCTGTGATTCAGTGTGCCAAAACACACGCTGATGAGAGTCTAAAAATCTGTGCCGATGGTTAGATAATGTAACTAGTATCTATCACACGCACCAATCTCCTTGCTAGCCCCGATTAAGCAAGTTGTACCTTGAATTGACGTAGAATTTTTTTCAGCATGTAACTTTTGTGACACTGAGCTCAGCGCTTCCGCAAACACTGATTGACGTTTCATCTTCTGTCAACGGCTCTTTTATCAAACGGCTATTTTCTACTCTGACAGGTTGTACGATGCGCCGTTATCCTTAATGACGATAATCAAGCAGATCAGAAGATAATCATTACCTTTTAAAAACCCTTTTATTCCATATTTAAACCTCTTTCTCCCTTGGTTTAATTTCTCCTTCCCAAAAATCTTGAACCTCTCTCAAAAACCCTAGAATTCTCAAATACTCTCCAATGGCGGCATCTCTGTTCACATACTCCTCAACTTCTCGAAGGGTCATTCCTGCTCCAAACTCTCCTCCTCTTCCCATTCACATCAAGGCCACCAATGTAGTCTTCAACCCCGACATTCCAGAGGTTCATCGAGGTCTTGGACTCGATGATTTCGTAAATTTCTTGGCTTCTTGTCGCCTTCGATATGCAATCAGCGATGTACCATCCGAGTTCTTCCCAGAACAAGTATGCGAGTTCTACTACACTGCAACCGTTAATGAAGAAAACAACGCCATCACCGGAACCATTGGCCATGGAAGACACTCTGTCTTCATCACCGCAGAACTTCTCAGTGCTGCTTTAAGGTTACCAATCTTCGAACCCTTCTCTGAACCTCCATCTATTGAAAGATGTAAACGCATGTTTGATCAACTGGGCTATGATCACTCAAAGGCTGGCACTCGATCAGCTCTTATTTTGCGTCAATGTATGACCCCAGGCTGGAAGTTTTTCACTGGAGCTCTGTGCAAGTGTGTGGGTCACAAGTCTCGTAGTGGTGACCAACTGAGCAATTATGAGCAACAAGTTGTCTGCTCCCTTCTTCTCAACAAAAGACTGGATTATGGGGCACTTTTCTTTGATCAGCTTGTTCAGCTTCTACGAGCAAATGTACGTGCTGATCATGTTCCCTTTCCACGCTGGATTGCCCTAGTATTCGACAAGTTCTTCGCTGCTGACTACTTTTCTCACTCTGGGAATCCAATCCAATGTCCTCGAATGTCAGTTCGTATGTATCAGGATGATCCTTTAGATACCGACATTGGAATCTCCGATCGGATGAGAGAATGGATTGCCAATCCATACATTGTGCCTTCTCTCACCGCTGACACTGATGAAGGAGGTGCTGATGTTGATGATCATATGGATCTTGCTGATCAAGAGGTGGAACATCATGATGGCGGACATCTCTCACCTCAACTTTCTCATCACCTCATCTCGGACACTGGCAAAGTCTCCTCTGCACCACAGGATTCCATGCCTCTGGGGGAGCAACCATCTCAGGGGGAGCATCCCTCGCAGGGGGAGCTTCCCTCACAGGGGGAGCATCAGTCTCAGGGGGAGCATCCATCACCAGCAGCTCACCACTTCTCTCCAAGGATGCAACCTAGCTCTCCAGTTGCCCCAGGTACCTCAATGGTTCAAATTCCCGCTTCAGCTTTTTCTGAACTGATGTCATTGACTCGGGACATGAGTCAGCGTCTGCTTCATTGAGGCTGATGTTCAACAAATCAAGGAGGTTCTCTTACTTAATCCTCCCTCTAGTCCCAAATCTGATGATGCTCAAAAAGGGGGAGATACTAATGATGATGCTGATGCTGATGATCATGCTGATGGTGAGCCAAATGAGAAAGACACAGAACCTGCTGACAACACTATCTTTCAGCATGAATCACCCAACCCCATTCCTGAATCTGATTCTGCGGGCATAATAGTCCAGCAGCTACTGAAAAGCAATGATGAAGAGCATGATGAACCTGATGATGAATGTCAAATTCTTGACATGAACTTCATTGATCCCTCATTCCAGTTCAGCAAGAAAGCTCAGATGACCTTGAAGAATCTCATCCGATACTAACCGATTCTATTGCTGATCCCATCATTCCGGTCCAAGGAGAGGATTCGGACATTGCCAGTGAAGAATCTCATCCGCTGTCTCGAAAGCGGAAGGTAGCAGATACTGACTTGGATCATTCTCAAACTGATACTTCTTCTACTGTGAAGAAACCTAAGTCCATTGTCAGTATTTCAAACCTTGCCACTGAATGGAACATGTCCCCTGACCAAGTCAAGCAAATTCTTGATGAAGCCAATCAAGCTCAGCTTCTAAAGAACATTGCTCAAGCTGATGAATCCCTTATTCAGCACAAACTTCAGGCCAAGGGATCGTTTGAAGCTCAGATGCAGAAGTTCCTGGAATTTCAGTCCAAGGCTCAGTCTTCTCAACCTCCTCCTAGCTCTAGCAAGCCTAAGACTGACAGTGTTCTTGACCGGATTGATCGAAAGAGATTTGAAGATGTTTTTAATCGTCGAATGTGTGGAGATAAGATCATCAAAGTCAAAGCTTCTAAACCTCGAAACGAGAAAATCCTTACGTTGCTGATCACTCGTCAAGGTCCTCAGCACTCATATACTGAAGTTGTCAAAAGGGATGAGCTGATTAGATATGGGTATTCGGAATGGATGGAACTGCTTGATCTAGCATCCAAGCAAACCTCAGCTCACTCTTCCGAACTGACTTGTGCTCTTCATCTACTGATCAAGAAGGTTCAGCG